ACAGGAGGCAGGATAAGAGAAGTCATGGTGGGAGGCAGGACGGGACTCCGCCCACAGTTTGGCTAGAAATTCATAACTCCTTCAGGGGCGGAGCTTGCAGAGAAATGTCAAAATGGACCTAGAGCGACCAAACTTGATAGAATACAGGAGGCAGGATAGGATCATCGATGGAAGGTTGCAAGGCGAAACTCCGCCCTAAAAGGCTGGGCGTGAATAAATACTATTGATTCGGACCCAGACCGTTGAAACTCGAGGACGCAAGGAGTCGGCTGGGAACATTGATGGTAGCTAATATAGTAGACTCAGCCGCGATGAAGTATCTGAATACTTTTTTCTCTGAGTAATTGCATTTGTGATGTTATGCGATGTTCTATTTGGACACAGCGAAGATGGCTTACAGAAAAAATCGCTCATGACTCGGAGCTAATACTGAGGGTGTAGAGCTTTCAAAGAAAAAGGAGAATCCGAAGTGTTATTTACGCATAGCAAATTTCTCACAGGAAGGGGGAGCGCCCGGCGTAGCCGGGCGAACCCATAAGAAGGAGGGAAGCCCGGCGTTAGCCGGGCGGCCCGACTGGTATATCAAATAGGAAGGCTTCTTCTGAAAAGAAAGAACTTCTATTGAGCAGTTCTTAATAATGACACTTAAGTAGAAAAATTATAAATTCTGATACTGTAGGCCTTTTTGATGTTCCAGACAAACCTCCGGGAAATGATGATAGCAGAAGGGTAAGTCATGTTTTCCGCATTCATCTTGCTGGGAAAATACATATCGAATTCGAACACGAGATCGTCGTTATCCTGCAAAACGTTTCAGTCTCTCGCCGAGACACCGCTGTTTTGAAAAACAAGAAAATACAAAATGTTCCCTATAACGCACGTAATTTTTCCCGTGCACCTCGGGAGGAAGGGGGGAGGATTTCTGCAATTCGCTGAATTTCTTGTAATCAATTTGACGGTTATGTGCACATTTCTCCGTTGCTGAATATGTCACACAGAACAGAACAGCCAAAGCAATCGGATTCATTATTGAGAGCTGATGTAGGGGATCAGTAGAGTAAGAGGGTATATTGAATATCTCGCTGGATCCTGAGCTTTATATCCATCTGTATTAAAAAAGTTCTGGCGTTGGGAGCATGTCATGCATACAGCTGGCTTTTTGCAACCATCACTGACTGTAGGATTAGGCGGTACAAGTGGATGCTGTTTGGAAACAAAAATATTTCCTCTAATGCTAGTATTATAGAGTTCGAAAAATAAAAACGTAATGTGAAACCAGGGCAGAAATTGGAAAAAATGAAAAAAGTTTTTCAAAATGTCGAATGCTTCTTTGAAACCTATATGGAGTGATAAGCGGGAAGCCGAACAACATCCGTGACGATGTGCACAGGTGAACAGCGCTGAAATCCAATAGATGCAGGAGATTGCATGGACGAGTTTGAGTTCTTCTGCAGCTCCGAGTTCGTCTGCTACTACAATAACCCTACATATTAATGTGTTTTGAAACAGCACAGCAGGAAAATTTCGAAACAATTGTGTAAGGGTCTAGCGGGGTACGCTAATGGGTCGAGTGAGATCGATGGTGGGAGCAGGCGGTGGCCGATAGAATTCTAGATGAAAGCACTGATTACAGGCTGTGCGGGGAACAACGGGATGTGCCTGTATTCAAGACAGGCGACAGGACGAGGATCGGCGGCTCGCACCAATGGCCTCTGGCTCAGGACGTCTTCCGCTCCCGGCTCCTGCCCATCGAACGACTCAATGGATCCTATTCGACGACCCAATCGTGCGACTTTGTGATACCTATTCTTACCCATTCGTACTCTGTATTCACAATATGTGTTTACTCTTGCGCCAGTGCGGTTCTACTAATAAATTCTTAAAGGCAGTTGTACTTTTCAGGTGTAACTCCTTTCCTACTTGGTGTAATCATTCGAAATCCCAATATGTGTAGCGTAGGCCTATTGTAAATATTTTCCACTATCAACCTACAATCTAATCATGTTCCAGATATACTAAGGGCTTGAATTCGAAATCAAATGGAAATACGAACGATGGCTCTTCCGGAAAATCTTTCCATTCTGCCAGTATACGAGCGCTAATGAGGAACACAAGAGATGAGAAAAACGCACACAAGGTGCGATTAACTGCAGACGTCAATAAGTTTGCTTTTAGTGAAATCTGCTACCGGAACAAACACCTTGCTCTATCTGTGGATATTGCTTTTTCGCAGTCAAGTGTGCTGGATAGTGTGAAATACACTTCAATTAGAAACACCAAAATTTCGCGCGATTTGGTCCATTGAGAAAAAAGTTACGAACGAGTAAGGGTAAGAGCGTTCGTTCGAAGACTTTTGAGCGCTACTGTATATAATGAAGAAAGCCGAATCTACTCACGCCATTTTGCATGAAAAGTGAAAGGAAACCTTCAATACTTCTGACATGTGATGCACAACCAGATCTGACATTGGTCAACAAACCCTTTTGGTTTTTTGAGCTTTCTAACGGCTCTGGGATTGATGGTATATTTATTTTATCCCCATGCAAAGCCAATTTCATCGGTAATTCTTCTCTTATCCTCCCACTTGAATCAGGCTAATATTCTCGCACTGCTACTTAAGGTCTAAAAAAATTCGTCGTTTCATGTTCACAGAAGGAGGAGGTTGAGGAAGAGGAGAGGCATCCCACGAACGAGACGAGATCTCCTAGAAGTCTTCGCATTTTGCATATTGTTTTTCCTAGTAAATAGGTTACTTCTTCAACATTATTCGCTAATGAAGGATATATAAGGTGGGGCAAATCCGGAGTATTATAACTCACACCCTGCAAATCATCCTTAGCAAACCTTAAAGATGAATCCGATCACTGTGATCGTTATGCTCTGTATTTCATTCTCAATGGCGAACAAATGCAAACCTGACCCCCTGAACTTTGATTACGAAAAGTTCGAAGATATGCACACAACCGACAAAGAGGTCCTTAAGCAAAACCTCAAACCGCATCTTGTAAGTTGGTGATTCTTTCCTTTTTTTGAACCATTGAATTTTCGACAGAAAATCGAAACACTTTGCAGAATAAAGAAGATCTTTTCCTTCTATGGCAAGTGGATGTAAATCCTGATCCGATACTGAGAAAAAATGCTGTGCCTACCGTCGTTTTTCCCCATGATAACGTGAGTAATTCTGTATGAAAAAGTGTTTTTAGTCTTGGTATTCATACCTAACTTCTCCAATCAGTGTCATCGCTTGGAGGCACAATTAACATGACTCTAAGATATCTAAAGGAAGATATGGTGAAGAATAGAGGAGAATTTATGAAGAAAGTACGAAAATCGGCCTACTTCGAGAGATGTGGGCTTCAAAAAAGTTTTGAATAACGGTCTTGTGAGGTATAATGTGTCTGTAACCGTCTGGGTGTCTCTTACGTCAAAGTTCTATTCCTTGGTGTCCTAACGCTCCATTGTGAATGATGCAGTCATATAATGGCCGACATAACACGGCCAATTTTGGGTGTGTAAGTGGGTCAATATGGTTGTAGAGCCCCTGTGATGCTCTGCTGAGATCGTTTTTTGACTCAACAGTGTCATATGTACGTGCTATCCCTGATCGCAGGTTCATTGAAATTGTGATTTTCGGAATTCTGGATTCCCATGTAAACTGTATCTTTAATGGATTCTTTATTTTAGAGCAAGGACCCTTTCTTCTTCGTATATTACCCTGCGAAATCAAACACCACTCAGCAATTCGAGGAAATGTCTGCAAAAGAATTCGTCGACTTTTTGGATCGGTGTTGACGATTCAAAAAGTCTTCCAACAAATAAACGGTTGTGATTATAAATTGCAATGATTGCAAGTGTATAAGGAGACCAAAAAGAGACCAAAAACACATAGCCATTTTGGATTTAGCCTCCATAGAGTCAGAGGAAGAATACATGGGAGATACATATGATCTTCACAGTGAAATTACCAGGAGTAGAAGAATACAAACTTGTCAATAACTTTTTCAGGAGTGTGGACATACTGTAGTTAGCAAAATAACAATTGCCTTGCACTATATTTGTTACTTTTTTATAGGAGCGAGTTCACTAGAGCGTTACCTTCCTGTTGAAACAAATTCGCTGGGAAATCAGAAACTATAGAGAACGCTCATTGGGATGGATCATCTAAAAACGGACTGTTTCCTTTTAAGTGTCCCTGAATAAGTTTGGGGTTTCTCTTCTCTCTGTCTAGAGTGCACACAGAGTGCAAGCCTGACTGTTTGCTGAGGTTGTGTTGTTTGACTTTTATTTTGAGTCACGAATTTCTTAAGATGCCAATATAAATGACTCTGGTTGATCTTTTCTACGCCATG